ATGTGATAAACACGTGACCTGGAGACTTCGAAGGCGGTCGCTTGGCGAAAAGCAATCATTATCTCCGAAGAAATAACGAAAAGGCAGCCTCTTTTTTCCAGCTCGGTTATGACCTTCGTTTCTGTCCCATAAGCCACCAAGGGCGATTTGACACTATGAAAAACCAGAAGTCATGGCTGGACGTTTGCCAACTGAACGGGTTAACATGTTCCAACTCTGAGTTAAAAGTTGGGCTGCAACTCTAGCCTAATTAGTAACCTTATTGCTTATTGTTTTCTTAGTTGTCCTAAAAATTCCGTCTTAACGGACTGAAATCAAGGTAAGATGTATACGCTGCTCCCGTTGAAATTTGAGATCCCGTTAAAAACCTAGTTAAGTAACAGAGTCCTTGCTAAATAGTGAATGACAGTTCTACCGTCATGGACAATGATATCTACCATGACTTGCTGGGTGCGGGACGGTGATCTGCGCATGAATTAGTTTATAGTGATAGCAGACTTATGAAGCATCTGCTGCAAGCCCTCCTCCCTCATTCAATCTGACTTGGCGGCAAGACAGTTAGGGCGACCGGAGACAGAGTTTGGTGTCATGATTGGCGAATATAAATAGCCCGTCTACGCGCGCGCTATATATAACCTGGTCTCAGCACAGTGTACCAAGTTTTCGCAAAAAATGTCGCAGATCGTATCGTCCCTTGGCGGTACTTCCACAGAGGCCACACGCGGAAGGAGTAATTACAATCTGACACCGCCCTTGGAGAAACAGATTGCCCAGTCTATTTCGTGTTTCTTAATTCTTCCGACCCTGTATCCAGCCGTAGTGCATGCGTCAAACAGACGCGTCTTAGTCGCGTTCCCACCCGCCTCACAGCGGCCAAGGTCTGCTACACCAATTTCCCTACGAAGGGCTACGACACACTGTCAATGTGGTAGGGGACTATTAAACAAATAGTGAAGGATAAACAAAGTACAAGCCTCAACAATGGATACACGTAATCGAGAACAAGGGGATTCGGCCAAATAGCCCGACTTTAGACAAGGGAACGCTGCACGTTCGACACCGCCAAGCAGGACAAAACCAGTCTTAAGAGAGGGTGTGTGTCCGAGAGGGGACAACCACCGGAAAAGAATCAACGGGAGGGGGGCTGTCCGCTTTATTGGAGGAAAGAATTCGCGGGCACGTGGCTCAGATGAAAGGGGACAACTTTCGCAAGAGGGAGACAGTCAAATGTAGGTCTCATCGAGGAATGTGAACGCCATCCCCTCAGTCAGAATTTTATTTATGCGGAGGTTTACTCGCCTGAAAGGAAATTACCCTGCCACATTTTCCAGACAGCTCCCGGGAAGTCGTATAAAAATAATAGAGAATCAGACTGGTATGCCTCCCCTTGCCGTTGGTTCTGAGGGCCAATGCCAAATACCGGACCTCACTTTTCGGTTAGGAACACGTATTCCACAGAAGTGTTGAAAGTTTTCGAGCGTGCCTCTACGACTCACCACCCGGCTGAATTAAGGACGGTTTCACTTCTGGAGAGTGTTGTTGTCGACTGATCATAGAAATGTCGGTACTTGGAAGCTTTTCGCGACAGCCCCATCTATATTCTTTGTGCATAGTGGAAATTTACTCGTTCCGCTCGTTTTTTTCTTTGAACCAGCATACAAATCTGTCTTCGGGTTTTGTTTTTCTCATTTGAATATACCTCTTTATTGTGCTTATCTCCACCTTCTTTCTTCCGTTACACAGCCTCCCAATAATCTCATGCTATCGCCCTCCGTTCAAAGCAATATCTTACGCATCTGCGAATGTGGTTGGCTGCACAATCGTATTCGGCGTTTTGTTGATGGCGTTCGCGATGACAAGACCAGCGGAAAACTCATGCTCGCTCTTGCGCTCGCCATAGAGGAACAGCTGAGTGAGTACTATCGCCTGGTCGCAACTCTGGAGGTACGTTTTTGCACTTGGCTTGAAAGCTTTGACTGTATTTTTAGTCCCATGCTCATACTACCCCTATCTCCCCCGGCCTTGAAATAGTAGAGTCGCGCGCGTTTCTAGGGCGTTAGGTGGAGACATCCTTCTCACTGTAGTCAGTAATTGTAAATCCGCATTATGATTTTGGAAGACGTCACTGTTCTCAATGCATGCTTAAGCGATTTACCAAGACTGAGGATAATATCTAGCGCGTTTGCTTTAATAAAGTCTCCAACTTTCTGCTGTGGGTTCGAACCTCACCAAGGCCGCCGAGTTTTTTCTCGAGTGGGTCAAATGAGTTATTCAAATCTAACGGAATAGAGATTCCGCGTTGGTGGTTGCAGATTTGGCGGTTTCATTTGCGTTTGTACAGAGAAGCCATAATTGCCTCTTTCGCTGGGACAATACGTTTATTCGCCTGACGTTTCGACATCCGTTGCGGATTCGTCGTTATCTTCTCAATTGCCTCTTTCAAAATGTGCAAAATTTGTCTTTGTCGCCACTGTTTGCGATAGTGAATTAACCCAGAAAGTAACCTTCGCCCAAAACCTAACCGCAACCCTGAGCCTAACCACAGCCCGACCCGTATACAGAGCGTAGTTCTAAATTTAACCTAGACTTTATTTTAGTCCTAACTTGCAGGGAAGCTGCGGATGAAATGCTGCCCGACTGACTTGCCTAGTAGCCAAAAACAATACAGAGTCATAACCCTAATTGTAATTCGGTCTCACGGTAGAACACCAACGTCGAAGGGGCGCCTTGTCCTAAAAATGAAGGGTCTCCACTGATCTACCCCCACAACATGTATAACCATTCCAGCTACTTAACCGCCTAAGGTAATTTGAGGACTATTTAAGTCCTTGGTCTGACCTAAGATCGAATGAAACCTGCCAATCCTAGGAAATCTTTATAACTCAGACCGCACGAATGTATCTGGTCGACGGCGAGAGCTGAACTGCTGATGGTTTATTGAATGCTCGTCTGAGCTCTAGCCTTTGCCTTTTTGCAACGTTTTCTCTAACGCCTATTGTACCGATTTTAATACCCGTCATAAAGGTAGTCAGATAAACGACGTAGGTCCCTTTTAGAAGGTTGCTAAGGTGATGCCTCTTATCAAAAATTGCTCTCAAAGGTCGTCTCTTCAACTGTTACATTTAAACTCCATGCGGTGCGTATGTTCAGATTACTCTCTCCAACACTCCACTATCGGCTGCTAATGCTAGAACGGTTTTGAGAACTTGTGAAGTGAATGACTCGTTGTATGCCAGAAGGCAGTCGAAGTACACCAATTAGGATTTCCATCACACTGCATCCTCGTAAGCTTCACCTACCATTTTCAGCAGTTTACTAATCAAATAATAATGTATTATGCTTAAGATGGCTTTAATATGGTCGGACGCATTAGGGGATAAATCAAACGGCCTATGCGGTCCTCGAACTGGGGCATCTCGGCGATCGGAAACATTTCTTTCCCCAGGCCGGTAATTTTTATACGTAAAAAGAACGAATTTTTATTCTCTTCCCCTGCGTAAGTTGGTCTGTCGAAATTTCTT